ACACACACACACCCACATGCATGCCATGATGAGCAAGATGAGGGATCCAGGTCCGTGCGCCTGTCTGAAAATGACAATTCCCAGCATAATCTAAAAAGGGACTGCATAGCTGCTTCTGTCGTATGGCTGCATCACAGTAGCATCGGTAGCATCTGATTTCGCACACCGTTTGTGCCGCAGCGGCTCTTCGCCGCCTCGCGGTAACTAAGCTTGATCGGTCTGAGCAACTGATAACAAACACGCACGGTAATACATGCAAAGTATGAAAATCAAGTAAAACCAGTCTTTTTCATATTGCATTCATGTTGAAGCACTGAGGCTTTCGGAAAAGGATGGGGCGGTAACATTATCAACCTCAGTAACCATGCACTGCCACGGTTGTTCTGGAATCACTTAAACGGCATTTGGAATGCTCCTAGCTTGATTACCATAGAGGCTTTTCGTTGCTAAACGAGTTAAGGGGAGTAATTTCTTCTTTGCGAACCGAACTGGCCAGTTGATTTTGAGAATGAACTCCAATTTAGTATTACAATAAGCATTTCTCTTTCGACATACCTAAGAAACAAGTCGCTGGACTCCTGTGAGTGCTAGGGAAGGGAGAAATTGAAATGGAATTGAGGAGTTTGGAGTGTTGCACAGGTTTTAAGGTTCAACTCTGAGGGTTCGACATTCCTCCTCCCTCTCACCGTATGTGATGCTGCCCGGGAACGGATCGGAATATGACCAAGAAAGATTTTAGATCGTCAACAGATGCATCAAGCTCACAGTGCATATCGGATCTCAGGCAGCGGCTCCTGCGAGCAGCCATCGCGAGGCAACCGCACATCCTTGCTACTATCGACAATCAACAAATTAAGGTTTTTTTCTCAAAATGTTTATATTCTCTATGGTTAATATTTCCTTCATTTGCTTCGGTCGCAGTTGACACTTAACTGTGGCTGATCGTTTGCCGCTTCAGCCCTGTAAAAATATTGTATATTGCACATTTTTCCAGGACCTAATACTGCAAGTGGTAGCTGGTGACGAGCCATCAATGCTCAATTTTGATCAGATCCAAGCAATCAATGAATGGCTGGAGCAGCTGGATGATAATCACAACGACAGGAAAAGGTTCATTCTTTTTTTGCTCTTCATTCCACTTTTCATTGCCAAAATTACAGAGATCGCCTGATTACGTGGATGTGAAGGCAAATTATTTAGTAGTGTTACCGGAAGATCACTGTGCTACAGCTTTGGTACTGCCTGCTCCAGTAAATACTCTCTCTTCGTGTAGTTTAAGCAGAGGTTACTTCACTGTATCCTTATTCCGATGAGCTGCCTAAATAAAGTTCCTCGGGGTGAGGGATGATGGTAAGCTGCCCAAATAAAGTTTCTCGGGGTGAGGGATGATGGTAAGCTGCCCATATAAAGTTCTTCGAGGTGAGGAATGATGACATTTGCTAATGCGCAGCAAGCTTTATATGACGATGGCACCAGATAAAGAAAATAAAGATATCAATGATGAAGCATATGTAAATATAAAAATATGTTAAAACACAATTAGATGAAGAGAATTGTTTCGACCCATTAAATCGTACACATTCCTATTCAGCAAAAATGCCCTGCTCAACAAACTACGTCAGTGTACTTAGCGTGTTAATGCCACCATAAGGCAGTGAGTGTGCTTGTTCTAATGCAGCACTATGAAGTTGCGCGACAATGCCTTCTACAGCATTTCGGCACACTTATTGACTTAACCATTGCTAATGCTACTCAACGAAATTTGTTTTTGCGAGAGAGGAGACCAGAGCAGTACAAGTGGATAGCTGGGAAGAATAGGAAGGGTTCAGTCCAGGCAGCAACTCCCATACATCAGCGATAATAAAGATTTTAAGTGCACAGTTTGTTAACTCACTGATCACTCTAAAAAAATTGACTTGCCAGTAGTAGTCCGCAGCGTTTCATATAGCTCAGCACAGATGTTCTTCGATCTCTTTGCTGGCTTGCTTAGCGTTTGTTTAACAGCGTTACCATATTACGTGGTAAATGACATTCTCGGTCGTAGACTGGTCATTTTTTGTAAGCTTTCTTTTTCAGTACTCGTTTCGACCAAAGCTCCTGCTTTCTGGCTGGTACCTCAGAGTCTGTGCCAGATTCTGGTTCTGTTGATTCCATGCAGCGTCGTTGTTTCCCCTCGTTTTTGGTGTCAGGCTTTGAAAACTGGTCATTTATGGGTATGTGAAACAGTGGCAGCAGTGGTGACAAAAAAGTCATTTTTATGTATAAATTAAAGTGAGGCGCTATTTCCGCGTTTTGTCATAGACTTTCATTCTTTCTTGCAGCTGTGCCCGTTCGTTTTAGAAATCGCTAAAATTCTTCCCCCAGCTAAACAATAATGCAGGAGAGCTGTTGTAACCAAAGCCGAGCTTTGTGATGCGCATATTTTAGGCAGACAGTATCGGCTGCTGTGCATTACCAACACGCACGGGCTTTTTCTCGCTCATCATAAATCTCACAATGAATCAGCAGATTCTTGAATAAATTAACCGGAGAACCAAGCCAGTCAGCTCAAATACAGCCACGTAGGCAGGATTTGTGTTCAAAAACAAGTGAATTCTGATTGCATAGCGATACTCTTAGCAATGCTTTTGCAAATACCCATTTGCCAAACAATATCTCTTGTATGTGAAGCAAAAAAAGCTGAGTAGTAAGATTTTGACCACTGTAATCGTTCGTTGGCACATTGCTCTTTTGATGGTTGCTTCTAAAATAAGCTAAAGGTGCCTTAATTCCTTGGCCAGAAATGTAATACCAACTTTACATGGAACCGACCTCCTACTGGAGGATTTGACCAAGCAGTTAGATGCACAAAGTCCTTATTGGATTAGGAATGAATATTTTTCTCTTCTATCCTGTAGTGTTCATTAGTTACATGTTAACTTGCCGCAGTGCGAACGCAGAAAACTCGGTTAGTCGATGCAGAAAAAATGGGTTTTGATCACAATGAAATTTGTGCCTTTGAAAAAGTTGACTTTGCGTAAGAAATACCCTTGCGTCGCATTTAATCCAGCACTGCACCATCCTTCGTTAATGCGCTCATCCTTTTTTTCGTACTTTGTACTTGATCCATTTTTTAGAACGATGCAGCTCATAAGAGATTAAATCTAAACGAAAAATGAAAGAAAACTGGATATTCAGTCGAATCCAGTTCGCATTGATTATAACGTCGATCTTTGCCTGGACTGGCGAATAGATAGTTTCTCCGGAAGTGAAGGACTCCCCCAAATGTGATTCCCCCAAATGTTGAAATTTAAGTTTCAAGATCACCCACACAGACAGGGTTTCGGTGTTTGTGATGCAAAACTCTGTGCAGCTAATTTATTAATGTAATTTGAAATTAAAAGACTATTGTGATATTCGAAAATTGTGTGAAAAGTGTTTCTTAGAACGTCCAGTTAAAGTTATATTATTATAAACTTCAAACGTTCGAGTTATCTTATTTCAGAATCGGACGTTTCTGATTAAAAATCCGGGTATATTTTCAATCAAAATTCAATACTGCGTTTCTAAAATTATTAGATAACAAGTTAGAAAAAAAAAA